TCGAGCGCATACTTAAGGGTCATATCGTTCGCACGCTCTCTTATGCAACGATCCTCTCACGCGCCACGATAAAAACGCATCCCTCGTTCGTTGTACATGTCCACACGTATGTACATCCTACTCTCGCAGATTCGACTTCATGCTGTCTTTCCGCAGCTCTTTTAAATTCTTCACAAAAAGATCGTCAACAAAGATCTCGATTGACACGCTATCAAAAATAGTACTCTTTCATCGTGTATTTTTAACTCCTGAAAAATTATACAAGTATCTATACAATTGCACAAAGTATTTAAGTAATACAATTAATTGTATATAATTATACAAAAATTACATATGACGCGCTTCCATTTCCTAGTTCTCAAAAATTACACAAATAATTGTATAATTATATAAAACAGTGATGCATAACTTGCGGTTCATCTGTGAATTTTTTGTGATCTAAATATCTTATTTCTAAAAATGATCCTCTAAAAATAATTCTTAAGAAAGGTTGTGCATTACAGTATTTTGATTGTAAATAATTATACGAAGTATAATTATTTGTAAATTAATGTTACTATACAAAGTGCTCGTATAATTAATTAATTTCTTATTATCAATATATTATTGACATAAGATAGACGCAATCTAAAATTGAAGCAATATTGAGTCCTTGAGTCAACAGTAAAAGTAAGGAATTACTACTAATTTAGTATAATCTCGAAGTCGACGGAGCAATGAGAATTTAAAGATCTTTAATGAAGCTAATAATTCAGTACATATTTAGAATTTTTTTAGTGATATTAGTATAATTAAAAGTTAATGAAACAAACAATCGACATTAAGTAATTTTCGTATTCGTACGAATTATGTGAAGCATTTTAGTCGAGTTTACTTAAAATGGAGTAATTAAGAGCAAATATTCAATTTATCAATTTAGCTAATTACGTCTCAAGAGTATGCAGGAAAACATTTTTATTAACGACACATTTCTATTAACGATGCATCCAACATGCAGTTATAATTATCAACAACATATCCAATATGTAATTAATTATTCTTCCTCGCGTGTACATTTTCAAATATTAAAATATAAAATTAATTTAGTAACTCAATAATTATTCATCATGCATGCGGCGAAAGATATTAGTAGTATATACAAAATGCGCTTCAGACAGTGTGTCATTATTAATACTACAATTAATACTAACACTAGCAGAACTTATGTTCTTGCGGATATATGTAAAAACATTAAATAGTATTAAAAATAAATACTTACAAGTGATATGAAAATGTAATTATAATTAATTACAATAAAATTACAATCACGCTATATTCAATCGCGATTTAGTTATCAGGAGATTTATCGAGTAAATTAATATGTTCTTGAAGGTCCAATTCGCACGAGATGGATTGGCGCCGCGAAGAGAAAGTTGCGACGCGATTCAACTTCATTTCCATTAGATTCAGATTGAGGGTCGGTCACCGGATGACCTTGGACCCGAGAAAGGTTTGCCTCAACATTGAGGGATCACGAACGTGCTCGCGGAATCGACTCCGGAATTGCGGGTATTTAGGTCAACTCAGCTATGATTCTCTGCTATTTGAATTATTTCTTGTCGTTGTTGCATTATTAATGGCTGCCTATCGCAGTACGAAGCAAGCTATTACATAGAAAGTTCGATTTTAGGTAAACTCAAATTGCCTATATTTAAAGTCTTGTTTTATTCTTGTCATGGAGCAAACGTAATAGAAATGCGGTTTGTCAGTTTGACATTATCTGTACTTTCTATAATAATTTAACGAAGATTAATATTGCGATTTCCTCGGAAAAAATAATCGTGAATGGTGATAAATAAAAAGGAATGTTTCGTTATTGCGGACGAGTGTATTGCAATTCGTAAGGTACAAATAGTACAAAGGGTATAAGAGTACAAACATTGCGTAGGAACTAGATTATGCGGACATAGAAAAAAAGTACAGTTCAGAGACGTGATATAGCAACTCCCTCGCGTTCTGCTCTCTCCTCTTATATCACTCGCAAATGTGAATTGCGTCCTTCGTGATTTCGCCCTGATTTTATCTTTTTATGGAGAGGATTCATGCCGAGATCGTAAACGCGTTAACAATGTGCACGAGAAAAGTCTATGCGAAAAGGATGAATCTACTGCAAAAGGCTTTCTCTTGCAACATTTGAAGTAAAATGTATAGCGGGAGATCATTCATTATATAAATAATTAGGCTGCTAACGATTTAATCTAAATCATTATTTATTATTTACTTTTGGAGCCTTGTTGTTTAGGCATTATCTAATATTATTTACTTTTCAAGCCTATTTGCATTTTTCATATCGCTTCTTGTGCGAATTCTGACTGCTCTATGTAGGACGAAGATGTAGGTGAGAGAGAAGAAGCGAAGGAAAGAATGGACATGGGATCTCGGCATGAGTCCTCGGGATTCTCAATAAACGTAACATGTCGCGCGTAAATCCTATGTCAGATTATAATAAATATTATATAATAGAACAACGTAATAATAAATATATATTTATATCTTGTATATATAAATATGTGTATATGTGTGTATATATGTATATATTTATATTATATATATGTATATATACATATACATATATACATAAATACGTTATAGGAAGAAACATGTCGACACAACTAACGCTAAACACCGAGAGAATTCGCTTTTTTTATTGTATATTCTCCACCATTTATTTACAGCCGTCTTAAAGAAACTATATCTTACAAAAGATCGACTGCACCGACCGGATAACTAGAATTCGCAACGGCGATAATCGATATCAAAGCTTCTAGCACGAAACACGTATTACTCATAAACGCCTACATTTCCATTAAATCTCGACTTCTTTCTCTCCGTCTTTGCTCTTGTTTCATATACAGGCACGCATTCGCAAAAAAAAAACACACACGCATGCATGCACGCATACACGCATATATTCATGCGTGACCACATACGTCAATTTATTCGCTCATTTTCACTTCTGTGATCTCATTCTCACATCTGTCAGTTGAGCATGAAAGAAACTCGAGTAGGTCGCTTCTAGTTTCGAATTTGCGTGTCGATCGCGATCGATCTTGATCCCCTTTATCTCTTATCAGCTCGGACAGCACTCTTCTTGACGGATTTAAGGCTTAATGATATGATCAGCCCATTGTACTGTATTTCTACTTCGAACGTCTTCACTTTTTCTCTATCGTTTTCTCTATCGTTCTACTTTTGAAAATCGCGAAGTCTACGATACTTAGATACTCGCCCATCGATTTGATCCTGATCATTCAGTTTTCTGAGCTTGACGTAAAATAAGTTTCTCTTGATAATACAATTCAACGTCGATAATAAAATGTTCGTGCATTATAAATCACACATCATAACAACGGTACTAATTATTTCCGTTTTTACAAATAGATTTTTCTACGATAATATTTCTAAAATTATATTTATAAATCTTCTTGTGCGTATATTTTTTTAAATATAAAAGGACCAAAGTGTTCTCCGATTTAAATTTCGTTTTAGAATATTTAATAATATCTATATGTGGTTCTTTCTTTATTGAATTATATATGGACATTGCAAGTCGCTCGAAAATATGAAGTTCGTGATCTGTACGAGTCGAGAGAATTAAGAGAGATTTCGAGTTTGTTAAATAGAAAACTGAGAGAAGTAAATTCTTTTTTTCATATTGTCAATATTAAAATATTTTTAATTTCTGCGAGATTTGTTCCTCACTTGTATTTATGCGTAATTGTCTCACGTAATAATAATTGATAATTTTATTTATCATGAAAAAAATCTATAGTATTCTATTTATTTATTGTAATAGTGTTCTATTATTATTTATTGTTTGCGCTATTAAACATACTCGTAATCTATTTTCCCTGTCGCTATTTTAGCTCTCGAGTCATCTACATGTACACGACAATTGTTGTTTAAGCTGCAGTTTGTACTACGTGGAAGACGGATATCCGTGAGAGTGTCCAAGCGCCTTGAATTATACGAGCACCAAACATTCAGGTTACATACAGTTAGAGGACTCGGTTTAATCGGTTCATAGCGGATCAGAATTTACGCTTAGTGCTCTGATCATTCTCCTGACATTCGTTTCAGTCTTTCGGAAAAGAGAGTCCGATTCTTTTCGAACTCTCGCTTGTCTACTCAGAATGAATACAAAAGTTTATCGAACGAAGAAGGTTCATTGTTCCCGTATTGGATCGAAGACCTATGCCGAATGCTTCGACCAGATTGGTCCTAAGAAGAATCTAGTCTTTTCTACTTCTAACGAATGAACATTTTGTCGTCTACAGAATCATGTGTTCAGATATTTGAGCGAACGTTAATTCAAACATATAACAAAAATAATAATTATGTTCCTCCGTATTCTACATTAAATCGTTTTGGTCGACTGATGAATTGAGAAAATCGTCGTTTGAATATCTACAAGAGAAAAATTTAGAATGTATACGTATTATAACAGATATCGGATTCAATATTTATCAGTGAACTCTATTTTGATAAAATTTTAGGTACACAGTTGGGGAAAATTTGTGTTAAGTTTATAACACACTTCACGTGTCTCAAACGATCCATCCAAATTTTTGTGTTAATATAATAAGATGAATATATTAGAAAGTATATAACACAAATATTATATTTAAAAAATTGACGCAAAAAATTTAATATTGACACAATTTGGAAGCAAATTGTGGAAGCATATTTTTTCGGTAAAATTATTCATTTATCTTACAAGAATTTACTTATATTTCAAAATATTTTAATTATTTTTATATTTGTTTACTTACTCAAAAATTGTGTTATTTTAAGATTAAAAAATTTTGAACATCAATTTAACACAAAATATTTAAATAACGCTTCATGTTAAATCAATACTCGGATATGTTAAAAATTTAACACAAAAATTTTATTATTTTGCAAGAATCGGTTTCAATATAAATACAAAATATTTTTACTGTGTAACTAGTCAGATCGTCTAATTGTGAGAAGTATAATTGAGTGTTTCACTTCTCAAGATATTTTATCATATAATAGATAAATGCTTTCCTTATCTTCTATCAATTCGAATGATATTGTGGAATCGATACGAGATACGAATGAAATCGTTTATTCACTGCTATCACTTTCTCTTTTATCGAATGAAATTCACTTATCTTATATAGTGATTCTTGTTCAGTTATTTTTGCTTTGTAGGATTATCGATTAGGGCAAAGACTGCGATGATGGCAAGCGATAGACATCAATGTACACGTAATGCCTTTATCGCGTAAATACTGCGATTCTGCTAAGCTCATTCGTGTGGTTTGCAAATCTTCTCTTTTCGTGTCGGTTTCTCAGCGCGGTAAAGTTAGAGGCTATTTACAAATATATCAATGGGATAAGGGGATTATTTAGATTAGTCGAAATCTCTAAAAAGTGGTCGAATAGGTTTCAAGGAGATCGTACATAATATCGTGCTTTGATAAATCGGCTTATCAGCAATAAGATGTCACAATCAATACGCATTTTTGGAGTTTATTAAAATTGTTCTTTTTCGACGCGAATCATACTAATAATTTTCGGCGAATCCATTTTAGAATGGTGTTTATTTTAGAAAGTAATACTAGACCAGTAAACTCTATAACATACTGAAAACCTTACGAGGCGAGAGGGATTCTGCTCGACATGAGCGAGCCGAGAGAGATAATTCCACATGGGGACTCTCTCTGCAGGGTTTTCTCTGCAGTCTTGCACGTGTTATTTGTGCCATGGAACGTAGGAGCAATACAGAACGTAGTATCTCAGATAGTTAAATCTGAAAAGACAGATTTTTAGTATACTACCAATTTTTGTTGACAGAAAAGCAACAAAATTCACACAGAGTTTGTAGTATCTAATAATATCGCCAAACCGCCGCCAAAAATAGGACAAAGCCTGCTGACATACAGTAAATTGGTAGCAGAAACCGAGCAAGATTTACAGCTCTTGTTCAATTTTTGCTGTTAATCTGCCATCAGATTACTCGTGCGCGCAGATGTTGCTTAGTTTCTGTCATCAATCTACTGGCATAGCATGTCAGCAAATTCTGTCAACAGATCCTGAGTTTAATGCGGACACAGATGACTATGGTGGATCTACAGTAAGAATCTAAATTTGCTGTCAATCTGTCAGCAAACTGTTAGCATTTTATTATTTAGGACGTTAAATAAACAAAGAGCACAATTCCTGGTTCGGTTGTTTTGATGGTTTCCAGTATGTTACAGTTTTAGTGTATTATAAACTTACACAATAGCGCTGTGTAAACTGTATGGAGTCGCCAATATTTATACCGACGAAATAAATTCATAGAAGGCTAGCTAGAACACTGACCGTCGATAAATGACGAAGTAATCTACTGTTTATTAGCCTTATTGCGAGTATCTGTCTGCCGACGTCTTCTTCTTTAATCTCAATTTACGTATGTAATATCGAGGACACCCGAATCTATTTATTATATACCGTTAACTTTCCGAAATATACCCTGAAATCGATACAGATTATGTGCGTATGAATTGTCATGTACGTATTAATGCATTAATCATGCTCGGATTAGAAAAGTTCTGTCCGTTTAAAGATATCGATGTCTACTTCTTATTATGTTGCCCAACGGATTTTTCCCTTTTAAAATCATTTTTGTGACTCGATCTTTTTCGATCAAATGAAATACGCCGGATCGTTCTCCGCGATGGCATCAAGCCTTGACAGTTGACTTTTGGGCCGCTGCGGAATCCCACCGGTCTTCCATATGACCTCACGGGACCCCTTGCGTCACATGTAGGTGGGTTTCACCTTATAGGCTCGCTTCCACACTTCGCACAGACATACGGTGCTGTGGAACCTGTAGAAGATCGCCAGCGGCATCGAGACATGGGTGATGATCGTCCACGCCCACAGGCCATAGAAGTGCAACTGCACCGGATGCGACTCCGCCCGTGATTTCTCCAGCGTGTTGATTGCCCACATGGCCAGATTCGTCACCAATAGAAACGTCACGATTTCTCTGCCCGGCTTCCTGCGTATCTGCTCGGCGGTGGCGACCGTGCGCCTCGACGAATCTAGAATGAAAATGGTCTGGCAGGTAGTCTGGACGACACTGGCCAGAGCGGTGACCAGCACGAGGACCGTGTGTTTTTGCAGGGTGAAGTGGCCGCCGATGATGGTGAACGTAGAGTAGATGAACATGCCGGTCTGAGCGGCCACCAGGAGGATGTTGTCAAGCTCCAGATTTCTGCCGCCGTCGTAGCGCAGCTTGCGCATCTGGAACATGCCGATCATCGTCGCCAGGGTCGACATTCCGTAGAGAGTCAATTCGCAGACGTTCACTTCGGTTACAGCGAGGCTGACCAGCTCGGGCCGTGAAATGAGAACGAAGAAGAGGATGAGGGAGATTATGGTCAGCACTAGAATCAAAATGCCCACGAAGAGGCCCTTGTGCGCGCGGGCGCAATCCACGCTATAATGATGAGGCGATTTCCTGCGAATAATTGAAAGTTTTTTCATTTGAAATTCATGAATTCGTGACGTACATAAGTTCTAGTGCCATTTGTTATACGTTTCATTGTGTTAGAATATTATTCACAACCGACTCTGCGATAAGCTGCGCGCCAGCAGAATTAGTTCGTGAACTGGGTTGTTATTCGCGTACTTATGTAAGTATATGTATTATTGCTACAGCTGTAGGCGTATATTATTACTATAGCGTAGGCGAATGTATTGTTACTATACCTATAGGCATGTGTGTGATGACGCGAGCCCGGCGGCGTTGCAGGCTTCGTGAAGCCGACTTTCGATATGTTTTTCCACATTACATATAAAATAGCCGCGCAAATCAAGCTGTATTCTATCGTGCACGGAAAAAGGAAAGGGCTGGCATCTTGTACCAACGATCCCATTATATTCGTCCTTCTGCATTCGAACATGTGATGGGGTCCTTTGAGACCGCGCGGTAATCGCACGTGTTCTCCGTGATGAGAATGCATGTGACCACCGAGATGAAGTCCTTTCGAACCTGAAAATTCGAAAATTAGATAGGTCAGATAGGTAGTAGAATTGTAATGGAAGATTATGTTCGATCGCGTTTACCTAGTCTGTGAGAAATTCTGAGGGAATTGTTCTCCGGATTGTAAAACGTGAGGATCTCGTGTTTTGTTTCTTGCACGAGAACGTTCAGCCAAACTGATAGATTCGTGCCGATCATATGCATTAGTCCGAAACGTGCAACAACGCGATGACGATAAACCTTCATCTGCTAAAATATAAGGCAATGTTATTATTTTACTATAAAAGTAATATTTATAATTTGCTCTCTCTATTTACATATTTACATCAATTTTTAAATATATATATATTTTTAAATATATAATTTGAATATACACATTTGTTTTTGTATTGAGAGTTACATAGATGCATATGCATTGATTTTAATGACAAAGGAGAAAAGAAATTGCAAGTTACCTGCAAGTACATATCCTTTTCATCGGCAATTTTTTGAATAGAAATTTTTTGTGTTAATGCTTTTAAATGTTACATAAATAAGAGTTTAAGTCGATATAAGAATGATGTTAATATTAAAAGTAAAAAGAATAGCACTTTATAGCGATAGGGCACTAGAGCGTTTAAATAGTCACGGTCTACTATTGCTCTCAGGGTTGTTCACCCTTCTGTTTCATTAACCCCGTAACCGACGAGCTTGTGTTAGCTCGGTACTTCCGTCAGTGGATTTCCCGAGTTACACCATCGAGTTTTTTCCGATATAACATGTGCAGTGATTCTCAAGAAATGCAGTAATTTTCTATATCCAGTAATAAACAAACTGAAGTTATTCGTGCATTTTGACGTCAGCTTGTTTGCTCATGGATATATACATATATATGTATAATTAATAATTTTCTTATAAACTTTGTTGTTATTAATATTTACTATTATACTTTTTGAACTATTTTCAAATATATTTTGCTTCAATACGGTTTTAATTCAAAATTTAATTGTAAAGATACGTAATATTGAAAATTGGTAAGTTGCGGTAAAAAGTGACCCTTGATATTCTCGCCAGAAAAATTAAATAAGAAATCAAGAGTTTGTCATTAAGAGAAAGGTCACGAGTCATGAGAACGGCTCATGTAGATGTCAGTGCCCACTCACCTCATTGTTTAGAAATATGAAGTACATTTGGATGAAGATGAAGGCCATTCTCGTGGCAGGTGTGAGGGCCAGCATGATGTTGTGACACTTGGTGTTTTGTTCCAACTCAAAGTACTGGCCGAATTCCAACCCGGAGTAGATCATTGAGCCGATGCCGAACGCCACGGCACCCATTCGTAGATAGAAGCTACCGTAGTGCTGGACCGGACGTACCGGATTCATGTGCGGGCATCCGCTCTCAGGCGCGTCACTGTCGCCGCCGGCGCCGCTCGACGATCTCGACGAGTCCAGATCACACACGTCTTTCTGCTTCTCTGTTCCGCGAATTTACGATTTATGGAGAACCGGTTAATTGCAATCGGTTGTTACGCAGCAACAATCGTCGTCATTCCATTTGAGATCGGCATCGCCTTCGATGATCGCTCTCATTTTGACGATCGCTACCGACCGAGAGAGGAATTTTGACGAGAATCAAATGAAGCGAGGTCATCGTGATAATATACATAATGTTGCGTCACCGTGAGCATGAATGTGGATTGATCGGTTTGTAAGGCTGTGATTGCCAAAGCGATGGTCTGATTATTGCAAGTTTTATCTACTTCTATACGGAAAAGTTTTGCTAAAGTATCTAAAAATTTAGCTAGATACAGATTTGAAAATAATTTTGTTAGACCATAAAAATAATTATTTAGGACGCTTAATAGATAGATAAAAAGTAAGATAAATCAAAATTAAAATTAATCTACATTAATGGAAACGAGTATGGGTTAAATTATTTTCAGATCTGTAACTAGCTAAACTTTAAGATACTTCAGCAAAATTGTTCTTTTCGTTCTTACGCGTGAATTCAAAGAATACTTGCTCGTAACAGCCGAATCGATATTTCCTACGAGTCGGAAATATTTATCACGATAGACAGGGACCGGATGCTAAATCTTTTAAGTGCTTTTGGACTCACTTGATTTCGTCTTGCTGTCCCCGAACAGCATGGCGTACATGTACACGAGGAAGATCATGCTGCCGAAGTAGAGGTAGAGGTAGAAAGCCTCGTAGAAAGACGGCGGTATGTACGTGGATATTACTTCCGCCATGGGAAAGGCGATCCCCATCACAACCAGAAGTTTCCCGTACAGCGCGCTCAAAGTGGTCGCCAGGGCGTCGCTGCATCAGAAACGGAAATTGAAGCTGAACGAAACGAGGATTCACGTCGCGCGCAGAATTAAATCCTTGCTTAAGGAAATAGATCCATCTCCGGCCATACTTTGAGAAAACATATTATTCCTCTTCAGTTGCTAGCTCTACTTGCCAACTATCAAACGGATCTCTAGTCAAAATGCACTTGACGAAGTATTTTATAAATCCGCTAATTTATAAACCGACCCTTATCGGCGAAAAGAAATCAAAATCAACGAATCGCATCGAGTGGATTTAATAATTCCATTTATATACATATAGTAGATCCAGATATATCTTATTTGTTGTCGGTACAATTTAGTTTTATTCATTTCGATCGAAAATTAAAATAATCGATATTATGATTTTTTCATGGTATGAAATCTGCCCGTGTTTAAGGTCCTCTTTCTCGGTTCTGGCCCAGATAAAAACATCTTTTCTCGAAGAAATCATTGAAAACGGGAGATTGAGGACAACCGCGCGAATGATGGATCGTTAGCTCGATGTCTATCATCGTGTAACGTTACAGCGGAGGTACCATTGGCCGCAAATACATCCACCCCCGTAAGAATTGGCTCAATTACGAGTAATCGTGTGGTCGCCTGTACGCGTGTATTTGATTCATAAAGTGCCGGTAATTGCGGTGCAGACGTCGGTCAGGATAACCTGGAGGATCACGTGAAATTTCCGTGGCGACCGGTATTCCCCCTTCACGTCGGAGAACGAAAGCGAATTAAATTCGCGAATCCTGGCGAAATGCACGGTTGAAGAACAAAATCGGATTACGAGAAAAGTTAAAAGATTCATTTTAACTTCACAAAGATTATCGCGCGGTTTTATTACGCAGAATGTATCAATTATAGTAGTCATTTCATCGAATCAATAATTCTGTAAATAAGTAACGATGCAATTGCAGCTTTAAAATCGTTCTGTCATTTTGCAGAATCGAATATGTTAGTAAATAATACCGTAATCTCTCTCTCTCTCTCTCTCTCTCTCTCTCCGCACACATAATTAATAAACTGTAAATTTCTGGGTTTAATGATCCAATTAATATTAATGATATTACCTGAGCGCCGTTGCTACATACGAGATTATTACACGCGCATGATGTTATTATTATACATATGAGATTATTATGTGCATCGTTGTATAAATATTTACATTTTAGCGATATGAAAATGGCTAAAGAAACATTAATGATCGCGTATAATGCTGGAAATTAGTTATGATTAGACAGAGAAACACAACGTTGAGAGAAGGCCCGGATTGATTGGGAGATGGTACATCGACCTCATTTCGATGGAGAAAGGTTTGATCCGCTACTCACCAGCCAAGGTTCTTCCACTTCCGCTCGTCGGTGACCTCGAGGAAGGTCGACGCCGGGTAGCAGACCGCCGGAATCGGTTGCGAGGAGCATGGTAGGGCCAACGCAAACTGGGGTGGCCGGTGAACGCGAGAAGGTGAGCTGCTACTGTGTCTAGACAGCGTTTCCGGCGAGACGATTACCGCGGATGGTGAGGCTGGTGACGGTAGCGCGACCGGCAGTCCTGGCCAACTGTATAGAACGTGTCTGTTAACATCTCGTATCTATTAGTATCCCGTTATTATTTTCTCTCTTCAGCTTTAATTATATAAAATTATGATGTCCCTTAAGATTTGCATCTATATTTCACGTATTTCTTCATTGAAAAGAATATATTTTATGCTAAATGATTTTACATCTACAAAGCGAAGATATAACAGATAAAAATTTTTCTATCATGTGTTGTGTTTGTGTGTGTGAGATTCGTTTAGATTTTCAATTCATTTTGCGAATTATCTTAGTCTAGCTTTTGCATGAGGATCACTTTAAAAAAAAAAGAATATGTAAACAAAAGCAGTAACTATTAAACTGAGTTTAGAAAGATTAACAATCATATTTAATTATGATATATAAATTACAGAATACGAATATACGTTTTAAATTTACATAGATAAATTAAGGGTATAATTTCTTTTGTAACAAGCATATTTTAGTGCCTAAATAAAATTAAGTGCTTAGATAAAATTCGCTTTCAAGTGTGACATTTACATGCGTGTGTGAAACGTCTCTACTTTTATTCTTTATACATTTTGCATAATGGAAAAATTGCGAACAACGTCGCGACCACGCCTTCCATTAACGATTTTAATTAATTAATTGTACATTCGATAAGGTACATATAAGTACATTTCATTTATTTTTTCAATAGTAGAGGCTTTATTCTTGCGATAGCAACGAATGCATTTATTTTAACTTCAATTACATATTCACGTCTTCTCATGATCATATTTTATTCTTTTTTAATTAGTCGCGTCGGTTAATTAACTCATATTCGCTGCTGCCAAGTGTATTACGGTTTTAACAAAGGCATTAATATAAAAAAAATAGGTATAGTATTATATATATATATATACATACATATAGTACAGAAAGATAGAGACATACAAGTGCATATGCACTTCGTGGTTTTTATATAAACCCACGCGCACCCGCCTGATTTAAGGTCAACGCGGTGCCATAATGTTTGACATATTACATTGACACTGGCTGCAGGAAGAGACCGACTAGTGCTGATGGCTTTGTGAGTATCATTAGATGACGTAGCGTTGACTTTCTAACACGAGTCATTTATCTAATAATAGTAGCCGATCTATTTAATCTGATATATGACAAAACGAGCTTTTTATGCTTTTTGCACGCGCATTTTCTAGTTCATGAATATGTAAAAATTTGTTTAAATGATTAAGAATTCGTCCGAAGTAACGTTCAGTATATTCATCGAGTTATCGTAAAAGGAATATTTGGCAAGAAATTTTGTTTGACGGAGATCCGTATTAATAAAACTTAATAATAGGGACGCATTATACTACAAATATTCCAGCCGATTGTTGAGCACATTATCAGTGCAAAAATATTATTTTTGTTGCATTCTTTTACATTCTAACATTCTGTGCTATCCTAATTTAATCATAAATTTCATCAAATTTTAATCAAAGTAACTTTAAAAAAGGTCTGCGTAAACCACAAGATTTGTTCGCCATAATTATAGAAATTGTGCGCTTTAATGTTTCCAAAGCTTTTACGAGATTCAGCGTTGTTCCGCATATTTTAGAAAATAAACGATTCAGCGTATCGTTGACCCGATGTTGGAAAGAGTAAAGGAGGAACCCCGATCCTTTTACGAGGTGTATGCAGAACAGCGTAAAAATATTTCGCAGCAATGTGGCTTTAGCATGATACAACAGCAGCGATAGAAGGACAGAAGCTCGTCTCGTACCTCCGAGCTTTTTGAAATAATCACGTAGCGTTGTGAAGCGTTGGAGCGAGAGAGGGTGTCGTTGGCCGAGGGAAAAAACGGATAGGACGAGAGGGAACTGAGAGGGTTGATTCAGTGGTCGAGTGCCGTCCCTCGTTGCGAAGGGCTTGAGAAGCCGGCGCATCGCCCACCCTTTGGTGGAGATCTCTCCTACCTTTACGCTACCTTCTATCCATCGACGTCCCTCACGGCATCCCATCCCTCAGCATCTTCTCCCTTTTTTTCGTAACTTTTCTCGGCCGGATTTATTACATCATCAAAATTCTTTTCAGCGGACTTTGACATGACGCTGACCTGGTTCCTTTGCAATTTTAATTTGTTTAGAGAGGACGGTAAAGTTTGGCCCGCGTAAATTGATTAATATTTTATGCAGCACAACGTCATTTACTTTTATTAAATTTACGTTTAATTCAACTAATTATTTCCGTTTCTAGAGTTGAAAATGCAGGAGAGTAAAAATAACAATTGTAATGCATTTGCTATTAGTTCTCACGAACATTTCTTTAAATTGTTAAAATCTTTATTAAAGATTCACATTTCCACCTTTGAGAACCTAAATGTCTCTCGAATATTCACGAAGACAAATTGCAATTTTTCACACATTGTCGCATGCATGATTTGTCGTCTCTCGGCAAGATTTTCCAAGAAATTCTTCACATTCTGTGAAATCGTCGCTGGCATTTCATTTGAATTCGTTTGCCACGCAGCCATTGTCAAAGTCTCTTATTCAGAATTCAGGGACTCTTCGCGCAGTCCCTTTGAACTTTGTGCTTGAAAAATTCCAACTCGGCCACTCTCTTTTTCATCACTTTCCGCATATTACGATGGGAATTACACTTCCGAGATTTCTGTCGACGAAGAACATCGATTCTATCGCTTATCATTTCGTTGTCCGCCATTTGATATCTTTCATGTATTATTTAACTGCCTTTCAGTTTTTCTCACTATGCGCTCAGAGAAAAAAATATATAGTAACAACTACAAAGGTGACAACTATAAATTTTATATGTAAAAGTACTGTTTGTGTGTATGTGTACATATATAATTGAATAAACTATTTTATAGTTATAGCAACTGGTGAAATACCTTATTATATAAATTATATAAATTAATTTTGCATATAAAGATATATATTATATAGTTTGTCACCTTTATAGTTGCTACTACTACGTTTTTTTCGGAGTGCGGTAAATTTTTAACACGAAAACTGTTCGTCTTGTTTATTATTTTTTAATAAAAATATAATAAATTGTCGAATTATCCGCACAACATAATTTCGACTTCAAAATGATATCAATGTTTAATTATAAATCTCATTAAATTATACACGTCGATGCATATATAGATAAAATTTCGGAGAAACACTTCTATACCCTTAAATGCAACAGATATCGAGTGCAGCGCAGCGAAATCGTGATACCTGAGTGACGTCTCCTTGATGAGCATACCCGTGACCTTGACTCGCGCTTTTCTCGATCGTCTCGGTGGTACGTTGGCCCTCATGAACGGCCCTCACCAACGGATGACACTATCACGGCCCTCCGGCTCATGACACGGCACTCACGGACCCCGCATCACAAACTGAGGCCCTAATCGGGACAGACCGGCTCCCTGACCATTGTATCTATCGATCCTTCTCTCTACGTATATCATTTCTCTCTGTCCCTGCCTGGATATGCGACCGTTTGATAGCGAGCTCGTTAGCGGTGTATCAAATTTGCAGCGGCGTAACACGCCGTTACATCGCCAGTGCGCCAGCTGATCGATTCGTCTCGGTTACGTGCCGGGAATTCGAGAGGAAAAGGGTTTGTGATGGAAAAACAGAGGTCAACAGGAGAATTCAGGAAAAAAAAAGAAAATGAAAATAACTGGCAATGTGTATTAGATACACATCGGGAGTTGTTATAATAGTTATTAGAATGGCTAATAGTTATTAATAGTACAATCAAAAAGTATCGTGAAATAATAAATTAAGAAAATAAAGAAAATTTCTTTATATGTATAAAACTTTATTGTTGAGAAAATTAAGTTAAATAATTGGATAATTATAATAATATCGTACTTTCTAAAGAAATTCCTCTACTTTAAGAAATTTTCTAGCAAAGTGCACGGCAAATTGTCGCTTCTAAAATATGCGAAAGTACTGTACTCTAATATTCACACGCTTCGACTTTTATTCCTCTGTCTGCCTCCTGAGATCGGCGGCCCTCGTACATTTACCGGAAAATATCTGACGGCACTTCCCTGTCCCACTGCGTTTACCATTTTCCTCTCAAGACGACAAATTCGATGAGAGTGAAAAAGAGAGAGAGAGAGAGAGAGAAACTCCTTCATCGGAGAAATGTGGGATATAAATTTTCCGTCGTGTGACACTTCTGGTATGATCGGAAAATTTTTCATCTTTCTCCTCCATCCAACGAAATGAAGCGTACATAATTACATTTTTGACAATATTGTGATAATTTCAACAAAGCGTTTATTGATCCTAACAACTATTTCTTTGTATTTAACTCTTCCTATTTTTAATTAATCTTATCTCATTTTGGTCGATACGCATATATATGTAAATACATACATACAGCCTTGACCAAAAAGTATTAAACACTTATGTTTTTTTCAGGAATTCTTTACCTATATTTTTTCTTATTGGTTACCAGCATTATATATAAGTTTAAAGAGTTTTTGAAACAAAGGATAAAAATTCATAATAAATGTCATAAATCGATTTTTCAAAACTGAAATGTTAAATAACGATTAATACAGTGCCTAGCTAATACTTTTGACCAAGACTGTATTATAATAATCTTAAAAATTCGTTTTCGTCAAATACATCACAATATAAATTTCTTCTGCTGTCGAAATACGAGATGTCGTCTTGAGTACGTGTCTACGTTGATTGAATCTGCATGTAAATCGACGAAATAAGCTGCTTTTCTGATAGATTGGAGAAGAGGATTCGGAGAATTCTGACACGATGAAGACTTGGAGAGAGGGAGGAGACCTCTGAAAGATCGAACCGGAAGCAAGAGGGAAGACGAAGATCGAGCGTAAGCCATACCGAGTGACAGGTCAATATTAACTCTGACGCCGATGGTCGTCCGGTGCACACGAATTCACGTTCGATATCCGGCGGAAGTAATCGAGTTCCGCGGATGGACCGAATACGCGCGCAAACCAGACGCTCTTGCATGCCGGAATTTGAGAGGGACTTGGCATTCGATTCGGTAAATCGGTTTCATTGGAGATACCGCGACGAATAATGCCAATGTATGAACAAAAGCTGTCACATTACTGTATGTCCTGTACCGATATCGCATAGAAAGCCCCACACATTTCCTTCCAATTATAATAGTGACCAAATGTGTGTGATAGAAATGGCAGACAAGATGTGTGAGTATATTCGAAATTATGTATATAAATAATAGCTTTCGATTGCGCGCGAAAACAAATAATATTACATTTATATTACAATGTACAGTCTTGGCTATAAGTACAAAGCACCTTTAAATTGATTACATTTTATATCTAACGAAAAATAAATAAAAAAGTTTTATTAAAAAATAATATTTATGTTTGTATCTAACAATTTTAATATCTATTAGTCCTCCTTTATATTCTATTATCATGAGTCCTCTTTTGGCTTCTATTATCGCTGTTTTTGAAAAAAATGTAATAAATTATAAGTGCTTTATATTTATGGCTAAGACTACTATAGTAATATTGAATTAATCTGGGAATATTCATCTAAGATCTTTTACTCCAGCGGCGAGAAAATATGAATTGTGTTATAAAATGAACATGATCATTTGTTTTCTTACTTTTTGGACATATTTTCTTTCTTTTTTAATAACTATTCTTTACGAACCTTTAAATACAATTTTATCGAAAATCCGAAATAAAAAAGCGTTTTATTAACATATTTATTTTTTAAAAATAATAATCATAATAAGCTGTTTAATGCGTTTATTCCGTTTGTAATATTTATTTGGGTTCTTCTTATTTTTTCAAAAGATTGAAATATTACATTCTCTCTCTCTCTCTCTCTCATAACCAATGTTATCAAATACTAATAAATTGTAAAATAATCAGCATCTAATATATACAATATGTTATTAATAAGTGTAGATCTTTTATTGGGGTGTAAAAACACCTCAGTGATCGTTTACGTAAAAAAGTAAGTTGATTACTTCTTGGTTAATACATATATCGTAACAATACTATAATAAACATAAACCATTATATCAAATCAGCAATAATAATAGTGAACAAAAGAATTAGCATCAAAACAGTTCCTCGCGTTTACCGGAAATTAAAAGGGTTGAACGTTGAACGGATGTAGGATTGATGGCGTGGAGGAAATCGGCATGTTGCTGCGAAATCGCCGAAGCATTTTTTACGATCAAGTTTAATTGCTGGCAGTGTACGAAGTGCAGGATTATACGCTGGGAACCGAGGGAAATGTGCGTTAATCGCAGACGGTGATTAATGCTACCCGCCGGGACCGCCGCGGCCGGCGTTGGTCACTCCAATGAAGAGACGTGGAGAAACGCCGGCTCTTTAGGGGAGACTGTAATTTACAGTGGTGCATACAAAGCGGTAACAATCGATACAAAACAGTCGAATCAACGTTGAAATGCTCATTTCTTAACGATCTTATTTCTACACGACATGGGGTAGGATATTAATATAATTTTTTCTGAATTTATTTTCAGATTTTCAGTACATTAAGATCTTCTTAGGCTCAGTTTCACAATTCATGGTTAACTCTTAATCGAGGTTCAACTTATTCATTATCTTTTTTCAATTTTAGAATTGGAAAGAGATAATGAATAAGTTCAACCTCGGTTAAGAGTTAACCGTGAGTTGTGAAACTGGGCCTTAAAGTGATGTCAATTGAGTATTAATTAATTTGTGATATTATTATAGTAATTCAGTTGCACTTTTAAGTCCAAAAAATCGACGCGCACTTTTAAGTCCAAAAATTCGGCGCGCAATTCGAGAGATTACAAATGTGATGTATAAATTTACATGAAATTATTTAAAGCACTCATGATCCAGTTTCAATCGGTATGGGCATTATTTCTTAATAATTTTTTCTCTTTTCAAACTTATCGATCAATTATCAGTATATGCAATTAAAAATTTACAATTAAAAAATCATGTTTCGAAAACAAAGATTATTTTCAAGCGATAGCGATGTAGATAAACAATAAGTGAAAATCGAGAAATTCAACATAAATAAATGATAGTCATATTCAATGAAAATGAATGTTGGTGCCTAATGATACTTTTGCGTGAATCTTATAATTTCTAGTTCAAGTAATTAAACTGCGCGCCGATTATTTGTCGATCTTTTAACAATGTTTTAAAATGCTTATTAGCATAAGTATATATATAGTAAATTTCGTGTTAATTTAATTTATCATATTAAGTACTTCAGCTTCAATTTAGGACTTTATTTCAAGACTGATAAATCGATGCGCAGTTTGCTTGAACTGAAAATTGAGTCATATAAAAATATTATTAGACATCAATGTCTACTTTAGCCGAATATAGACTTCTTTGCTTACTTGTTAAAGATTATTTTGCTGCAAAAATGCTGTTCATTCTGTTTGTTCACTGCCTGTTCCAATTTTTCAGTCAAGAAATTCTTGAGACACGTTAACGATCGCGAAAATTAGCAACGGGGGAGATAAACGAGACATGCCTCGAGTGGCGTGCATTATAGGTTGGTACCAGGGGTAAAGGCACTTTCTGTACTCACTCTTGCATGAGCGATGCGGTCGACGGTTTCTCGATTTCCGTGCTAATCGTGCCACCGTCTGGCGTTCTAAGCGCGGCCTCCAATGCGGCCGCCTCCTCTTCCTCTCTTAATTCTTCCGAAGCTTCCTCGGGGATCGTCGTAATGTCCTCAATCGGTGGTAAGTCGTTCCCGTTCTCCTCCAAATGATTTTCCAGCATAGGATCGGAATTATTATCGCCTGGCCGCGACATTTCCTCGATATCGGAATCGATACCCTGTGAAATAGAATTAGTAGATATATGTTACTGTAATCGGCGCCATTTTAAAGGCCCATCTTATTTTCAGTGAAATAATTTTTACAGGATATTGAAATGTTTCTTGCATAAATTACAGCCAGTACTTTAACAAAGTTAAAAAATGTCCATTAAATGCAATATCAATAAATCAATAGCAGTAAAAAAGTTCATCAAATATGAAATGACACGTGAGCGGAGTAAATATTTAATGGAGACTTTAATCGAGTATAAGATACATAATTTATACCTGTTCTCACAAAACAGCCAATTTTACAATTGTCCTACTTTTGAGGATACTTACAAGGATATCAAATTTGTTTTTGGGGGTATATGTGACTTTATTGAAGTGGTATTTCAGTTATTGACACGTTGCGCTTTAACCCGATTTTAGAAGAGTCATACCGGATATGAGAATACTCCGAGTACAACTTAATAGAAATTTATTAAACTCTGACATTCATGTTTCAGAAATTATCTTCTGTCGCTCTACATCAATTAACTAGTACGTAAAGAGTAAATGCATGATAGTTACTAAATACTTTAGTGAAATAATTTCGTGCACTTATATTTGGTTAATTATATTTGCAATTATATTTGGTTAATATAAAAGTTGGACAAACTAAAATTTTAATTTTCTAAATTTTTTCTGAATTTTAATTTTCAGTTGAATAAAATATATTTGATAGCTATCAGACTTTTCTCTGAGTGTAATCAACGCAAATTTTAAAAATGAAAGGGGTTAAAAAATCCATGAATTTATGCCCTTTTCATAATAATCCGTCATAAGTGAAATGACGAATTGAGGACTTCGCAGTCTCGTAATTTGCGTTGCGCCGTCCGAAATCTTTCCGGGTAATTACCCTTGGCTCAGACTCAAGACAGATGATTTTTAATCTACAAGATGCCTCACCTTCCCCTCTCTTCCCGCGTACCTGTGCGAAGTCCATGTAGAAGGAATCTCTGGAGTCGGAACTGCCCTGGCGTAGCCGGAGGCTGAGATCCGGCGAGCTCTCGCCCATCTTCCTTATCTTCTTATCTCCTTCTCGCTTTTCACCTCCCCTCAGGCTCAATCGCACCTCTCCCTCTCGAAGAGTCCCCGACTCTCCCTCGCGTCTCTTCTCGCTCCTTTCACCCCCTTTCGCGCGCCGATCCCCTCGCCTTTGTCTTCGACACGAGCTCTTCGCTCCTTTACGGACGGGGAATTCTAAAGAGGGTAGGCCCTTGCGCACACAATCCACCGGGTTTGCAGCCTGAAAGAATCGGCCCTTGAGAGACAGATCACCCCAATTCTACACCGCGCTTCCTCCACCTTGCCTTTCGCGCGAGAGGAAGCGAGAGGCTGCTCTTAACCGCGCGATGCGAAAATATTCCCGTGAAAAGAGTTGGTAAACGCGCGTGATCCTTATCCCAGCGACAACCCCAGATATCAAAGGCGTTCTCTTTACCCCTTCGCAAAAGAGACGATCGCGCGAGTGCACGCCAGGAAGGCGTATGATTTTCATTCTGACGCTTATCCCGATTATTAGTCGTCGAAGAATTTCCGGGGTGGTTGATGAAAATTGCTCTTTAAAACGCTCCACTCAAGCGTGCATATATCACTGTGAAATTGATTTTGTCCTCAATTTTGCCTCAAAGATTGTCATATGACATGTAAACAGAGCATAACTAATTATACACAGAACATAAACTTTTTATTAATTTAATTTTTATTAATTATTGTTCATAAACTTTTAATATTGTTTATAAATATTTAATATTTAATTTTTCTTACACGGAAAGAACTACTTTGTTGAACTATTTAAAAGTTTAGATACAAATCTGAAAATAATTTTGTCGGACTATCAAAATAATTGTATAAGATGCTCAAACATAATAAGCAATGCTGTAAAAAGCTTTGATATTCTAATAATAAGTTTGAGCGTCATTATTTTGGTCTAACAAAATTATTTTCATATCCGTACCTATCTAGATTAATAGTTAGATATTTTAGCAAAACCGTTCTTTTCGTATATTCTTCAGTTAATAGGCAAAATTGTTTATCCTTTTTTTTTCACTGAGATTCTATCTCTTAAATAATGAATATAAAATAAATGAAAAATTATTTTTCATCTCTCAATCAATATAAAATGCTACGATATATTTGTGTTGACATTCACATAAAGAATCTTCGTCTGACGTTGCCGGGCAATCTCGGAAGCGAACCTCTATACTCTTAATTATATAAAGTGCAGGGATGTACTTTGTAGGAAATTAATTACGTCAAATAGAAAATTAAATCTGGTTCTCTTCGCGTTAATTATCCTGTTCGCAGCGCAGTGATAATTTCAATCGAAACTATAAAACATAATTATGAGCCACGGCGATTGCCCCGCGGCTGCTGCAGAGTCGATAACTAGTTTCTATACGTTACGCATAACATGACATTTTATTAATGTATGAGGCATGAAGCAAAGCTTTGTAGATTTTATCAGCAAAGTTAATTAAAATGCATTGACGCGAGTACAACGTGCAAAACATATATCGCCGAGTTAGTATTTATCTTAGGAAAAGCGGATTTACGTACTTAGGCGCTTAGTTGTGTTGTTTCTAAGTCTTATAAGTTCGCTGTGTACGGAGTTGTTGTTAGCGAAGTAACAAGACACTACGCTAAGACGCTACTACGTGCACGGGGAATGCATAATTACTCTTGCCAAAGTTACTGTCGAGTATTCGGTGATTACAGTCCTCCAAATTCGAACCGCTTCGCGTATAATGTAATTGTCAAATCATTGTCAAATTCGCATTTTCGTATTTCGACAATGAGGAAATTGAAGAACGCTTGCTCGCTTTTACACGCGCATTTATTTACAGGGATAATTAATATTGACAAGGACATGTGATCGTGCGAAGTGTAAATGACGATTGAGCTAAATTAACAGCCGGTGACGTAATAGTTTTTCTATAAACTGTAGTTGCAGTTGACGTAGTACTACATCTGACGTAGTATTACATTATTACATTTTTAAGACCTGTAGCTGATTTCCACTTTTTATATTTTATGTTCTTTAATCAAAATAAATTCCAATAGAGTTCATTTTAAATCAAATAAAAAGGCTTTCTTTCAATAATATCAAAAGAAATATTAAGTTATTTTTATATAGAAGTATATGGTTAATTTTTTTTATGTAAAATGTTCAATTAATTATATTTTTACGTTTAAATATTTAAAATGTTAAATGTTAAAATGTCAAATATTAAAATATTGAATATGAAAAATATTTAATTAATTTTCAAAATATACACATATAATGAATTTTAAAAGATTTTTTAACTTTAACATTCGCTGCCTGATGTTTGATATTTTCTCTGCTTGGATTTGTAAATTTCTTTCAATCAAATGACTCTTTTAAATGACAAATATGATATTTTAAAGCAAATATTACAGTTTTTATTTTTATTTTAATAACGGAATCCTGCAGTAATCAGTTATAGAGAGAGAGAGATTTAAGTTTATTGTATCCGACTTCCAGTTTTGGAAAAAAAATGTTGCAAAGGAGTGAAAAATATCTACTGAAATCATATTATGCAGTTCGGTTTATTCGCTTACTCGCTGCGAAGAAAGACAATGCCCTGCTATTCTCAAAGGACATTTGTCGTCCTACGAGTGAGTCAGACCGGAGTAAAACGCTTCCTTGCCAGGATACGGGGGTCTCTAACGTCAATGAACATTCTTCCCGCGCGTCCCTAACGCCATTCCAGGACGAACCCTCCCGTTCGTCGAATGTTTTATGGCCGGTATACGTGGCATCGAATATTTCTCCATCAAAATGACTCTCCGCGCATTAAAGAAACACTGGGCACAGCAGAAATAAAATGTAGGATCAGACGCCTACATTTTGGGTCGACCGTAGTAACACAGATAGTTTCGCGGCAAAATAATATTGATCGCGAATTATCAAGAATTATATATAATTACTTTTTTGTATTGTTCTTTAATTTATCATAATAATTAAAATCAATTATTAAAAAATTCCAGTTTCAGAAAAGGAAAATATTACTGGTTGCAAAAGGTACTAAAAAATACTTAGGCTTTAAGAAATTTGACTTTTCGTTTAATGTTATTATATTCATAAAGAATTAATGATTTTGCTTAAGTATCTAAAAATTTGGCTAAATACAGATCCGAAAAAAATTTCGATGGTCCAATGTTTTTTCCGTGTAGGACTTGTTTATGGAAAAATAAATATATTCCCAATGAAAATGTAAATAACTGGCTAAAATAAGTGGTCAGAATTAAACAAGGAAATACATTGCGATAGCGTTCATATTTAAATGCACACAATGGAAAGGCGATTGTAACGGTATCAGTATAGTGAGGCGGAAAGATTACGTTTACGAGAATCGATACGAAGATTCTATATCTAGCATGTAGTGTTAATATTATCGCTTCTCCGGTACATTTGTTGTTTTCCCAGAATTCCGTGGCAACGATTTTCCGTCGCTTCCGTCGCGTGCGGCGGAAAGGTAGAGTATTTTCCACTCCAACGTTATTCATGCCGCGTAGAAGTTCATTGCCTTTTTGCGCCGGCGATGTCGCGTTCGCGATGTTTTATCTAAACTATACGTCTCTCGTTGCTAGATGCACGCAATAAAGCACGCAACGGGATGAAATATAAACGTCGGCAAATGATAGGTCGAAAGCTATCGGACTACATCGGAATTAACGTAGAAAAATATAATTACTTGATATTATAAAACCGATGAAAACATCTTCTCATTTATATTAAAAATATTTCAAAATTATAATCTTATTAAAACAGAATTAACGTGAATTTAAATGAACAATAAAGTTATATAAAAAAATTATTTTTAGCGAAGGACCTTCACGATTTAACTGGAGTACCTAAAAATTTAATCAAATACAAATCTAAAAATAATTATGTTTTAATTAGACTATTAAAATAATTATGTATGACGCTCAGAATAATACAATTTTGAGCAGCATTACTCATCATGCATGACTTTCCTATATAATTATTTTGATGGTTCAACAAAATTATTTTCCGATCTGTATCTATAAATTGCTCTTTCAATGTTTCAGTTTGAGTTATTTATTTTAAATACAAAACATTAAGGTCACGATGTTTCTATCTAAAAGTAAAAACCAATTTCAGATCGCGGCCCAAAAATACTTTAACAAATTTCGGCCATCTATTTCAAGAATAGTCTACCGTTCGATCGATCTTAAAATTTCGTGCAAAGTACCATAAATAATTCAGCTACATGATAATTGATTTCGAACCACAGAAATCGAATTGCGAAACGCTTGCGTTTATTTAACGCAAAGCGGGAGTTCATTAATGCATATTACAGTATGTCAGTTTTTCCCTCCAATGTCGCGAATGCCGCGACTTGGCGCGTCTCGCTCGTCTCGCTCGAAGAGAGTTCGGCGAAAGGGAAAGAAACGGCACTTACGGGGAGAGCTCAAGGCATTCGTCGCCTTTTGGCGTTCATCTTCCCAGCACCCTTCGTCGTTCTCCCGAGGGCGACGCATCCTCCCTCTCACATCGCAATGCCCACCGTGCAGTCTCTCGTTTTCACTTTCATTCGGCGCCTTTTCTCGCCGGGCTCGGCCGAGGATCTCGTCATCTGCTATCTTCCGTCTCCACCCGGGTCCACCGCGAATCCATATCCCGTAATCGGTGCCTAACGCCGCCGCTGCCGCTGCCGCACCACCCACAGGTTGTAAACACACGCACCAACGCGTTTCTCACGCATACGCGTACATGAGAGCGGCTCGGTTTTGGGGGTGCGTATGGGCCGCGCGTTTTCCCGCGAGCTTTTTACGCTGCTATACTCTTTTTTTCCATCCGGAAGGGAGAGATGAAAAACGCGCGCTTCTAAACTTCTCGTTTCTCCCCCTTTTCTTGTTACCGGTTTGTCGATGGATTCTTTTAATTTTTTTTTCTCTTCTTTTACGAAAGAAAATCTCTAGGAAGGAACCGTGAAACTTGTTGAACAGGAAGGAGGCAGAACGGGACGATGTAAAAAAAAGGAATGTTTTTCTCAAAATCTCGAAGTTTGGGGACGGAGTGCGATCAATCGTGGCGCGTGTATACGAGGCACGAAGACACTTCGGCACCTCCCGAAGGGCGCGCCGCGCGAGACATCGACATCCTGCGAGAGCCGCCGGGCTGCTGCGATGGCCCGGGCTTTGCGACGGGAGAGCGCCCGCGCCACGACGCCGCCACCCGTCGCACACCGCTGCGCCGAACGACGTCGTTGCATCGCGGCGCACGCCCCGTAGCGAGGGAACGGACCCTCGGATGGACACGATCCGGATGACGTTCTGTCGATACCGTGTCGATTTTCAGAGGAAATTGGACCGAGATTTTATCGAAACGAGAGCAGATCTATTTCCCTTAATGTCTGTTCTATTTTTTTGTATAATTTCTGGCATAAATATTTCTTGATGCTTCATCCGATTGAATCAAGAATATTATGCAACTATACTATCTCGTTTTAAACTCAAAATACAATATATTTTCTTCATAAATAAAGAAATGAGACATATTAAATTATAAAAACATAGAACTTGAACAAGAAAATGTTTTTATTTTTATCTTTTCGTAAAATAAGATATAATGTGGTGCATATTTCGATGTGAAAATTAAAGTTATACGTCTTGTCCATAGAATATAAATGGTGTTGATTCTTGTAAAATAATCGTATAGATAAATATAATTGCAGATGTGTGTATATATATATGTGTGTGTGTGTGTGTGTGTGTGTGTGTGTATACGTTTAGTACAATGTTCTTATTGTATTATGTAAATTAAGATATAACAATAAATTTGTAAATAGTGTAACTTCGCGGATCCAATAATTTTCAGTCTTATACTAGATTTCCATGCACTTTTCTTCTGTATATATTCAATCGGCATTTGAACACTGTATCGTACATATATATATTAATTTCCCACACATTTTTGCCAAGCCAAGCCTCCGCACGTTATAGAAACAATCACGTATACTACAACCTGCAACAGAAAAAAATGGATGAAATTAGACTGCAACAGAGATTAGAAAGATCCAAAATTGATCGCAATGTTGGACTTACAATTAAAATTGCGCCGACAATGACATAAATTTTTACATTCTTCCAAAATAAGGATCGTGCTAGATTTCTACTTGTCTTTCTGAACGTCACGGACTAGAATAAAAAAGTGAATTTTATAATATTCTATGATTAACAACATTAAATTGTGAACATATTTTTACATACATTGGCAGACAAATTTTCTGTTTTGTTTACAAGCAGTTCCAATCGCTCGCCACGCATCGCTATATTGTCAATATTTTTTACCATTATGTCCTTAAGCTCGTCTAGTTCGCCATGAACTTTAGACAATCTATCAAGATCTTTAGATTCGCTATAATGCTTCTAAAAAAGAAAAATAGGATGAGTCACATGTGAAAACAGTGTTTCAAGATACATAATCAATTGTGACAGTACCATTTCGTTAGCCAAAACGTGGCCAAATTCTGTGTTCATAGCATAAGCTACGGCAGTTTGAGCACCTGATCCATAAACAGCCAAGAATCTTCTCTTGATTTCATTGAGATACAAAAATGCCCTGGATCTTTGAAAATCCTGAAACAAAATTTTATTATATCGCTTCAAAAGTGACAACTGAAAAAACATAATTTTTGAATTATTACCATGAATGAGTTAAGTCATCATTACTATATCAATCATCAAAAGTGAACTAACTTAACTTTATAAAAAAACTTTATAAAAAAACAAAATCATCACAACTCAAAAAGGATAGCTATTAAGAAAAATCATAACAATTCAAAAAGGATGATTTTTTTACGAATTGTGACAGGAAAATGATATTTGATTATGTTAAGAATATATTCGTGTTAAGCATATATTCTTTTTGTCATTATTAACTCAATAATTTTATCAAGAAGGAAAGATAGTTTTTGACCTTTTCCAAAAAATTTAATTTTTTGAGTTGTCATTTTCAATGTAAAGGAGTGATTTGTGTGCCTCGATGTGCCTAATACATACATCGTCAGTAATACACATGTAAATAAGGCGATCCTCGCAGATATAGTGAAAAAGATAAGGCCCTTGCGAATATGTAAGTTTGTCATTGTCCGGTGGTATCTTTGCCAAGATTTTCGCTGTGACTTCTTCAAAGTTTCCAACGCACGCAGCATGTTTCGCCAATATAATTGGTCCGCGAGCTACCACGCTATATAAAATTGGCATGTTGGAATCTGTAACAAAGTATATAACATATATGTGATTAAATATAATAAATAGATAACACACGTAAAGATTTTCGTTTATTTTTTTACTAACATTAATTCAATTTTTCTTTAATCACACACATTCTCCCAGTGGAATTTGCTTATCATATCACAATTGAAAACAACGAACTGTAATGTGGCCATATGCAGACAACTGTTTAATCTGCTTTAAGCATGCAAATCACTCATTAAAAAATATTGATAATGACACAAATTAGCTGTGACATGAGCAATAATTTATGCTATAAGTATTCCATTATGCATATATGCTCAATTTTAACCTCTCACAACTTCATGAAATTAAACGACTTCTACAATCGTTTTAACTGTTTGAACTTCGAAATTTGAATGCGAGGGGATACAATTAGAATACTTTTTTCAGGAAGGGATATGTCATCAGCGATCTAACATTTGACCTACCTCGATACAAAACAAAGTAAATGAAGGAACAGCTGCGCACTTTTCTGTTACGCCTTCGACGATGTAATACTGGTATTTCTGTGTTTCCGTCGATCCAAGAAGAATAATCAATCAATCGGTCTGTCGATTCTCTTCGGAAACACTGACCAAGACATCGAAATGCTCTTTACGACTGTAAAATAGTCACATTTCCATGAAGTCATCGATGAGTTTGAGTGATATGGATGACAGTTCAGGCAGTTCAGTGGTAGCGTAGTGGGATATAGTGGGGCACTTGACGTTCGTTCTTTCGATCTTGCGCACATTAAGAGGCGCGAAATTTGAAGCGACAATGCGTTGAATACCAGTGTAATACTAAGATTAATTCTGGACAAATTATCATGACATTCAATAGGGCCTCGAGAGCTCAAACATGATTGAAATATATAGATATTGTCGACTATGGAGATAAAATTTTACATAAAATGATATCTATACAGGGTGACCCATTTTAACTTAGACAGCCAAATAACTCGAAACATCGCGATTAAATAAAAAAATGTTTAAAACAAAAATTGTTGGATATGAAGGGGCTGATAGAACTATGACCTTGACAATGACCTTGACCTTCATTTTCAAGGTTATTTGAAGGTCATGATCATTTTTTTAAATGGAATTATATGAATTTTTTTACATAATATAATTCCTCTAATTATTCTGCATATAAAAGTATTAAGGTAGCGATATCAAAAAACCAATAGTTTACGAATTTTATATTTCATTGTGGCACATATTGATATAAAATATTAAATAATTCGTAAACTATTAATTTTTTGATAATCGTACCTTAATACTTTTATGAACAGAATAAT